ATGTACGACTACTGGCGACGGTGCAGGGCTGGTCGACAGTTCATTTTATTCGCAAAGAATGAGATATTAAATCACTTGTATACGTATATAATCACGATGTTTCTTTAATAAACGCATATAGTGAGAATCCAGCCAATGAAATGAATCCCTTCCAGCTTTTATTAGTGCAATATTAGTCTCTCAGATTGTCTTTCCATATTTCTACATCAAGAATGAAGTGGAGGATGCAAGCTTCTGCAAGCGATGCCAACACAAATCCCCAATCACGTGCTTGTTTGTGTGGCGGCAAAAAATGTCGGGGAAGGATTAACAATCTAATAAACAATATATTTGTTAATATATACCAATATACGTGTACACACATATATACTCGTGTTCATATATATATATATATATATATATATATATATATATATGTGTGTGTGTGTGTGTGTGTGTGTGTGTGTGTGTGTGTGTGTAAGCTTGAATGTGCGAGTGGTGTAATGGATAATCGGAATTGTAAATAGGAGAAACGAGTTTCAAGTCCAGTCAGGTACGTCATATTCACTTATGCGCAAATACTTCTGGGAAAGGTATAAACCCACCTCTTCTCCCACCTGTTATGGGTTAATTAGTAGCACTTGTATTATAAATACTTATTACTTCTCCCCAATTTTTAAAATATAAAAAACATTTTCTGGCTTTAAATAACCTGCAAAAGTTTGATGAAAAATCAATCAATCAAACATTCTATATGAATATATATAATTTGCTGCCTACATATATATATATATATATATATATATATATATATATATATATATATTATGCATATATATTATATATATGTATGTGTTTATGTGTGCCAGCAAACAGGTAAAACTTATAATATATTACAGAAAATGGAAAACTGCCAAAATGGTCCTCATTAATCAAAATAACCCTATAGAAATCATTACCAAGCGATTACCAATAGAGTTTATCAATTTAACTGCTCAGTACAAGACTGTTTTGTCAGAAATCTTTTTGCTATATCGGCCATATCTTTACCTCCTTGAGCAGACGCCTCACAATTCTGGTTGATAACATGATCATCCTTCATAAATCCTGTAACCAAAGACATCTCGTTGTCAGAGAATCCCTCTACAAGTTCCGTAACCAAAGACATCTCGTTGTCAGAGAATTCCTCTACATAAAACATCTGGCACTCAATGTTAATCTCACTTTATTTAGGAGCGGAAATAATGTGTTCAAAGTTGATTTTTTTGTTCCTTGCATAGAATGTTGATGTCATATATGGTCTGGTGCCCCCGCTGTATATCTCGAGCTCCTCAACAAAATCCAGAGACGAATATGCAATGCGATAGGTCCTGATCTGGCATCTCGTCTACAGCCCCTTTCTCACAGACGTTCTGTGGCTTCCCTCTGTCTCTTCTACGAGTATTTTCACGGTAACTATTCCGACGAGCTACGTTCGCTGGTTCCCAGACTGCATGAATTTAAGCGAGCTACTAGGCTGGCATCTCGGTCCCACCCTTTCACTGTCGAAACGGTTAAATTTAACCGTCTCTTCTACTCAAACAACTTCTCTCGCACTTCCCGTCGATGTTATACCTCTTGCTTTCATCCCTGATAACTATAATCTTCAAATATTCAAGTGTAATGTCAATCGACATCTTCTGATACCTTGATCGTGTTCCCCTGTATTCTTTCCTCAAACACTCGTGTTCTCAATCCTCTGTAACTCCTTGCTTAAAAAAATAGAAAGACTCCAACCCAAATTCCAGCTACATTTAATTTCGCGGGATTCGGATTAAACGCTAATATTATATAGACACCGTGCATTGCATCTCAAACAGACAACCATGAAAAGAAATTAACAACACTCAAGAATAAAACCTCTTGAAAATAGCTAAAAAAGTATCCGAAAAAACTACTACGAATAATTTTTACACTCCCTTAATTTCACCAAACGGAAAAATGTAAGAATATTAGAAAAACTAAATTTAAAATTCATCAAATCCTGTTATATTCAATGAAACGTGTTTGAAAGCAAAACACACACAAACACACACACACACACACACACACACACACACACACACACACACACACATATATATATATATATATATTACAGAAAAAAAATTACCTCTGTAAAAAAACTACTTGGTGTAAAAAATACATATGCTCTGTTAAAATAAAACCATCGAGCTCTCTGTGGATCAGTTTTAATAATTATTATTACTAGGATCCACCCGGATTATATACCAACGGATCAATTACTTGTACTGTGTGTATATATATATATATATATATATATATATATATATATATATAATCTGTGAATATTTGCGTGTGTTTATATAAATGTTAAAATTAGTTGTATTCATATAGCACAGATCGGTATGTATAAATGTATCAATAAGAAACAAATATATTAATACAAACATACGTACGTAGTCACTCAGATTTACGCGTGCTTTCCATAAATTAAGTAAAGTATTAAAATACAGTAATGTTTCATTAGAAACAAAGAGATGAGTGCCGAAATTTTGGGTTATATCTTTCTGGACAGCTATGAGCACTGGACAATCTCATTACAGATGGCGAAGTGACTCGAAGCGATAGAATTGTGCTTCTTCATGCGGAAGCTGAGGATACCATGGATGGAACACGTAACCAACAAATAAATTCAAAAGAAAATTGTAATGTCAACAGTAATATTAGCCGTTTCCCTACAAGGAAATATTTGGCATTCATTAACCAGTACTAATCCAGTACTAATTTCGGTTGAAAATTCGTAAAATCTTCCTCTTAAATTCAATTTTTCAGGAAAATAAGTTTCTCAAGTCTAGTAGCTGTTATAGCTCTTTCTAGTATTATTGAGGGGTTACATCCTAACCTTTTATTAGAACTAGTGTGAAATGTCAACATTTTGATTATATCATTATTTGCTCTTTGAGTTACTGTTGTAACCTAGAATGAGGAATAACCAAAACGGTGTTTGGAAATGGAATGGTAATCTTTATAACATCAACAAAATACAATACTCGCCAGCGGCGTGAAGTAGGTAAACCACTGCTAATAGTGGACTACTTAGACTGCACATTACCCCCACTTACTATAGTGTCCAACGTATTTATGAGGATTGGGACATACCCATTAGTGTTCATAGATACGGTATATAACAGTTATATGAATTATTCATTTTAATGTTGTTGTTTTTGAAAGTCCTCAAGTGATGTGATTTCTGTTATTTCGTAAATTTCTTTGTGATTCAAAAAGTTCGAAGAAGGATGTTCCCCGCTAAGACCTACGGACTTCACTCGTTCAAATCCATTTTAACCATTAAGTTTGACTTTGAGCGAGTGAAGTCTGAGAGTAAGACAATCATATCAATCAGAAACAGACAGTTGGAATGTCGGGGACAGAAAAATTTCATTAGAAACAAAGAAAAGAGAATAAGACTATTATGCAAAATCATTCCTCCCATATATATTTTTAATCATATCACCACAAGCAAGGCAAAAACTGAAGGGGTTACTGAGTGCTAGAGAATATTAAGAAAACTACTATTAAGAAGAGAGGATAGTAAAAGAATAAGAATTAAGAAGAGAGAAGATGTCGATTGATATTGCATTTAATTCTTTGAAGATCAAAGTTGACTGAGTAGTAAGAAGCTGAAAGAGAGTTCCACAAGCGAAAAGTGTGATAGAATAAACTGTTTGCATAGAAGATACGGTCACATCTAACCATTTCAACTGTAAAATGATGAGACCTTGTCGCCAATCTAGAACTGTGTTTAAATTAATAAAATCTAGGCGCCATAGCGGAGAGTTCATCGGAACAATTAACATGAAAGTATTCATATCAAAGACACAGGGAAGCTACGTTACGGTGGTGGGAAAGGGACTGAACCCAAGATGCTAAGTCAGGACCAAAAACATTGCATGTTCTTTTTATCAAGAATCTCTAAATATACATCAGGAGCACCAGAACAGATATGGCAGAAATATTCAATGCAAGGACGAATGGTAGACATAAATATATAAGATATATTCTGTCGAGAAAAATTGTCTAAAACGACATAGTGCACCAACTTTCATATATGCAGGTTTTGTAATTGATTCAATACACTCTTTCCACTTCATGTCAGCTGAAAACGTTAATCAGGCTCAATGAGTCACTTTCTTGGAGGTTAGCATGAGCCATGCTGATGGAAAGTAAAACAGTTTCGTTTTTGAGGCGTTAAAATTAAAAACTCACTGTTTGCCCCATTTAACAACGGATTGTAGATCAGCTGCCAAGTTCACTTTATTGAGCCGATCAGATTTACTATTAAGAGAGGAGTAAATAGTTGTGTTATCGGCATATAGAATATGTATTCAAATACGTATGCCAGTACATGCTTGAGAAGCACACAAGTGATGTTACATATCTAGCTGTCTAGCAATTAATTTTTGTTCATGTGTACGCATGACCTTTGGAAATTATTCATTTGAAAAATAGGAAATAAAGCTGTCATTATCTTTGTTATCTTGTAGTCTTCTAATGATCCGATATCTAATAATCTATCTGATATCAATAGATTACTAATTGGTACAGCAATATTGTTGCTTATTGATCAAATTATATAAGTACTTTGTTGTTCCAGTTTATCAACGATTCATAATACTTCGCTATGGATATCTTTTATAGATTCACAGCTTCTGTGAAATTTCTGCTGTTTAAATTACTCATTAAAATCTTGATTATTCCCTAATTTGTTCTTTCACCTCTTCTTGTTTTATGTTTTATCTCTACATACCCTAAAGTATTTATGTCACTATTATCATTAAATGTCCTGATTTTGTTTACTGACATCACATACATTCTTATGGCTTACGGTCATATCACGTTGAGACACCGGTTCTTGTACAATCACCGAAGTTAAGCAACATCGACCCTGGTCGCCATCTAGATGGGTGAAGGCATTGGAATACAAAGAACTGTAAGTTTATATGTGCAGCTGATATGGCTTACGGCAATATCACGTTGAAACACCGGTTCTCGTACGATCACCGAAGTTAAGCAACATCTAGACTGGTCAGTATCTAGATGGGTGAAGGCTTTGGAATAGAAAGTACTGTAAGTGTATATGTGAAGCTGCAATGGCTTACGGCCATATCACGTTGAGACACCGGTTCTCGTACGATCACCGAAGTTAAGCAACGTCGAGCCTGGTCAGTTCCTCATAGGTCACTGCTTGGAAATAGTAGGCCCTGTAAACTTGGATATACGGGTGGTTTAATGGATAACTGCTCCGAATTTGAAATCGGAGATCTGAGTTCCAATTCCATTTGGGTTCGTTATATTCACTTAGGTTATATTCACTTCACTTAGGTATGAAACTACCTCTTCTCCTTGCAGCTATGGGTTAATTAGTACTATCAGTAAAAATCATATTATCTCAGCCCCCCACAAAACCTGAAAAAGTTGATAAGCCGTAAAAACAAATCAGTCAATCCAATCAAACATTCTTATTGATTACATCTGATACTTTCCAGATAGGAGCGAGTGTTAACAAGCATCACAAAATCTAAAGCAATGTCACCAGTTTTCTTGCTAATATTGCATCTAAGGTTTTTCATTTTCCTTTCAAACTTCATTAGGAAAGTCACTTTCATATTTCAAGTCAAGAGCCAATCGTTATCTATTCTACTTCATAATCTTCACTTTCTACCACCTCCTTTTATACTTATATTACACGCAATTATTGATTGATTTGTTTGTTTCACGGCATATCAATATATATGTGTCTGTGTGTGTGTGCGTTTGTATGTTGTTATTAAATTGTTCTAGTGTTTTATTATTCGTTTGGAGCATGCGAAGTGTCGTTTTTCCTTTCTTTCTCTCGTTTACTGCCGACCGAATCATCCCTTTCTTCTAAAAGCCTTAATTTGACTGTCAAAATTAGGCCAACAACAACAACCAGGAGTAATCTATCTATCTATCTATCTATCTATCTATCTATCTATCTATATATATATATATATATATATATATATATATATATAATTATAAAAATGTTATTGGTCAGAGTTCAATTAGACCAGGAAACAGTAGTATTAAAAAGTGCTCAATAGACGTATAAATAAAATAAAATAAAATAAAAATTTAACATGCAGAGCTTTTGAATTTAATTTCTCCTAAATTTTAAAATCATATATATATATATATATATATATATAGCATATATTTTCTCACCTAAAGTTTTATTTACCAACGTTACATTTTCTACTCTCGTTCATTTTTTATCAATTGATAGTTTAGGTGTTAGTACTGTCAATAAGTCGGTATAAATTATTTTATTGCATGTTAAATAGTGACTTCATAATCCTCGAGTATTTAGGCTTAAATCTCTGTATTTTTCTTTTGTTTATGCTATCTTTTTCTAAATTAACAAACTTTAAAATATAATGTATACAAATGTTTATATACGAACATTATGTTGCAAAGGTTGCCATAGTGATAGTGTTTGGGATAGTGTTAGTGTTAGCACGCTCTCATTGTCTATAAAATGCTTTCGTAGCATGCGTCTCAAATAACTTCTGACAACTAATTCCAACTCCAATCTGAAGAATGGGCGAAGGCGGAAAACTGGCACCTCATAAACAGCTGATTCTGGTAGATGGAACTCGACAGCACAGGTAGACAGTCCATCCAAATCGAAGGAAAGCATGATTTTAAACATCTGCTGCCTTGAAATCATATCCAAAACACGGAAAAGGCTATGGAAGTATATCCAGACAGAAAGTCCTGAGTGGGAACCTGAAGATGGTTGGCTATCAACACTGAAAACTTTCCGGCAACTCCTGCAGCCGTCTCCAAATGTAATGACCTATATTGGTTATTGTCGGTACCACCGAGGGGTGGGTGTATGTAGTCTGGGCAGCCTCCATATACCATCGCCAGTCTAAGAGAAGGACAACTGAATTCAAACAACATGTTGCCTTGTATATCTTTCCTCTTTAACTTTTGAGTGGAAGAACAGGGTAACATCCTCGGTGGAAAATGAACCGGTAAGCCATTGTACTATTCTGCCTTGAATGTCACCATGAACCACAATTGCGAGATGGAAGGGAAGTGGTGACCACAGCGGCGAAGAATGCGCTAAATGAATAAATGAATGAGTAGCTGTTAATTCAATCTCTGGGTCGAGTATTGCAAACCCAGTGAAACAGGAAGAGCAATAACTGCGCTGTATTAAATGCGAACAAAACGAGATATATCTAGATGTGGACAGCGGAACGAAAACAATTTTACATCCGTACATTAAATAAAAGGTTCAGTTCGAAAATATCTTAAAGTTATCTGAAGAAAAATAAAACGGTTTGTTAATAACAATAAAGAGGGGGGATATTAGTCCGAATCTAAATAATGTAAAGTGAAAGCAGGAATTTAATTTTTAGCGTCAATATTAAGAAGTTTAAGTAAAGGATCGTTAGTAGACATTAATAAGATCATGTTTTCCATGTCCACACACGCACGCACTTCAGGTCTCCTATTTATTTCCACTTTCAAATCAGATTTTTTTTTCTTTTTATCCAATTATTTCTTTGTTTCTTATTACTCTTTAAATCCATTATCTTACTTGGCTTTTGTTCTTTCTTTAGTGTTATTCATTCTTATTCTTGCTTACGAGAAAGTTTACACTAAAACTCAGAGACTACTTTGTACAAAACATACGGGTTTGTGTGTGCGTGCTTGCAGCCGGATGCATCAAGATGTTAAATTAGAGACAGTCAAAAAATTATTGATATATGCAGATACTTTTGCATGAGGCAGTCATAGACAAAGGTACACAAACACACACACACACATACATATATATATATATATTATTTAAAATGTGCTATATTTAAAATGTGTTATATTTATGAAGAAAGTGCTCAATCTGGAAGTTTTTATAGATATAGAGTAGACTTAGGAATCAATCAGACTTGGTATGAAGCGTACAACTGACAGTTACCAAACAATGTTTAATTCCACATTACTGCTAATAAAAATTTAGGAAGAAAGCCCCATCAATACTAGAAAGAGCGATAATAGTTACTGGAAAATTGTTTTAAGAGAAATATTTTATGGATTTCAACTGACAGCAGTACTAGCTGCTCGGTCAATGAATGCCAAATGCATCCTTGTAGAGCAACGGTTAATATTACCATTAACCATGCTATCTATCTATCCATCTTATATATATTCAGGGTGCGATGAATGAATTGTCGTCTAAATACGAAAATAATGCTGACATCTCATTTTAGCAGATATATTTATTAAAATTATATAAAAATATCTTGAAATACTAAAGAGTAAATGTATTCAATAAAGTCGCCATTAGCTCCAGCAACGGCTTCCAGACGACTTCAGAATCTACCGCAGATCTTCTGGACGATCTCCTTGTTTAAGATGGAGAATGCTTCCATAATTCTTGCCTTCAGTTAATCTTTGACGTTACAAAGAGTTTTGTTGGTCTCTCGCTCAACTGCATCCCACACATAATAATCAAGGGGGTTGCAGTCTGGGGAGTTAGGTGGCCATATGTAAAGGAGTGATGTGGCCGCAAAAAACTATCTAACAGCCATGACTGGGTTCTCCTGCTTGTGCAGCATGGTGTAGCCATAGGGTCTTCCAGCAGGGAAGCACTAACTCCTCAAGTCACTTGATGGAGGCCTCCGTGTTGAGTCTGAGGCCCTGTGGGAAGATGAATGAGGGCATCACTAGTAATCCCTCCAAACACCTTCGTAATCACCATTATCTAACTTATCCAACTCTTTGCCACTCCTCTGCACTCTTCCCAAATTGACGCCCAAACACACTGAAATGTTTGCATTAGAGATTTCGGCGCGAATGCGAAGCAGTATAGCATGCCGTTTCCAAATTTCTGGCCGAGTGAATTGCGTTAAAGTGCTCTTTTCTTCACATACGGTGCCCAACTGACCCTGCTACACTGTGCCGTCGACAAAATCAAAAACAAACAACGCGCATGCGCGAAATTAAAAATATAAATTAGCGGCAATTTACCCATCTCACCCTGTATATAGGATTAATACAAATAACATTTGTCACTTAGTTGATTGATGATATATCCTGCGCCTCGACTCCAGAGTTTCATAGACGAACCTTTTTCTAATTGCTAGTCTATTCGTTAGGGTTTTCAACAACTAATGAAATAAAATTTTAAAACTCAGAATCTTTAAATTAAGCTTTGCCTCATTCCTTCGGTACATATTTATAACCGACGTGTACATTCATTTTCATTTTTATAGGTTAGCGAATATTTTCACCCTCAAAACCTCTATAACAGTCTATAAAATTTAAATATGTAAATGTCACTCGTAGAACCAACGTATCATCAGTGTAAAAAGGAGTAAAAACATTAATTTACGAGTAATTTATAAAAAAATTAATATAGTTTAAGCCGGGCTTTAACTTTTTAGGGGTAGTATATAATTCCATCAGTAAAAACATTACTTTAGTCCGATGAAGTGCTTTTAGAGGACGAAACACATTACACAGAATTTTCCCACTTTGTCTGACTCCCATATATATATATATATATATATATATATATATATATATATATATGTGTGTGTGTGTGTGTGTGTGTGTGTGTATAATGAAAAATTTTTTCATTTACCTCATGTTTGCTTCAAGGTTTCGTGGTTACATAGATGCAACCACTCATCAGAACAGAGTTGAACTGCTAATATTTCTCGATTTCTTTGTATTTTTGTTGTGGCATGAGTGTGTTACTTTCCTTTTCGCTTGATGGGTGTTGATTAACTTGTCCTCCTCTCTCTTTCTTCCTTTTTCTTTTATTTTTTATTTACTTATTTTCTCCTCGGCTTCTTCGTTGATCCCTGGTTTATGGTTGGATGTGTGTATATATATATATATATATATATATATATATATATATATATATATATATATATATATATATCTGTGTGGGTGTGTAGTTATGTGTGTGCCTATGCATATGCACGCATGTATTCATACATACATATATACAAATATGCACGCACACGCGCACCCTTACGTGTATGTTTGTGTATTCGTGTGTGCGAGTCTAATTCTGTGTTTGAGTTTTGTGTATGCTTGTGTTAATTGTATATGTATTATTTAACTTTACATAGTGTGCGTTTGTTAAGCTCCTTACTTTCGTGCCTCTCCGGTGATCTCGCGTTTATTGCTATTATTTTGGCCATTTAGTTTAGGTTATG